AGGAGCAGAACATGTGGAAGAGCAAGAGAATGGATGAAAGAGAAGGGTCAATGCATAAAGGAACAGGAGAATGGGTGGAGGAGCCAGGGAATGAGTGGAGAAGAAGGCAAATAGGTGGAAGAGCAGAATGTATGGACAAGCTGGGGAATAGATAAAGGAATGGAACATGTGGAGGAGCAGGAGAATGGATGGAGAACAGGTAGAGTAGCAGCAGAAAGGATGGAGGAGCAGGATGTGGGGTCCCCAGGGATGGAAAAGGGCTGATAAGAGCAATTGCACCCCAAAATCTCAATAACCTGCCCCTGCACCTCATTCCCACCCTGCAGCACTCCATGCTGGCTTCAGGGAGGTGGAGCAGGAGCTGCCTGGAGCTGAAGACCTGGATGGAGCAGCCCGGGCCCTGATGCGGCTGCAGGATGTCTATGCCCTCAGCGTGAAAGGCATGGCCAGTGGCATCTTCCAGCAAGCCAGTGCTGGTCACCCGCCCCTCTACAGCCCCAGCCGGCGCATCTCCCTCTCTGCTGATGACTGCTTCCATGTGGGAAAGGTGAGGGAGAGCTCTGCAAGTCCCCACAAATCTGTTCCAGCTTGGGATGTTGCTTCTGTAGGGATAAGTGCTGGGCTTTCTTCCCACATGGATGCAGAGACCCCTCTCACTCAGCATGGGATGAGATGATAGGGAGATAAGAGGGTGAGAGGTGCAGATGGGGATGGGGATGGGTTTGAGACAGGAAAAGAAGGGATGGGATAGGGTGGGTGTGATGTGGGAAGGAATGGGGCTGGAGACAGGAATAGGAAAGTGACAGGATGTAATGGGACAGGTTGAATGGGAATTGCAATGGGATGGGACAACATGGCATGAGGATGGGATAGAATGGGATGGGAAGGGATGGGACAGGACAGGACAATACAAGGTGGGAGCAGGATGGAAGGGGACAGGGTTGGGGCTGGTACTGGGATGATGGGTATAGGATGGGATGAGGGTGGGGGTGGGAATGTGGTGGTATGGGATAGTACAGAAGAGGATGGAATGGAATGGTACAGAAGGGGATGGGGTGGGATGGGACAGTGTGGGGATGGGATGCAGGCCCGGGTGGCCCAGCTGGCAGGTTCAGGTGATGTGTTGCCTCGCAGGTAGCCTATGACATAGGTGACTACTACCACTCCATCACATGGCTGGAGGAGGCCATCAGCCTCTTCCGCCTCTCCTATGGCACCTGGAACCCAGAGGACCGGAGCAGCCTGGAGGATGCTCTGGACCATCTTGCCTTCTCCTACTTCATGGTACAGCCACAAGTCCCTTCCCCATCCCCACAGTGTCCAGTAGAGCCGAAGCATGGACAGGAGGACGCTCAGGCGCTCTCCACTCCCCTATCCAGGCTGGAAACATCTCCCACGCCTTGAGCCTCTCCAGGGAGTTTCTCCACTATGGTATGTGGGGCAACCTTGGATGCAGCAGGAGAGGATTTGGGATCCCTATTACCTGTGCATGGCAACAGCCTCATTTACCCTATGCCTTCCCCCGATGTGGGGTAATTCTCCAGGGACTGATGCCAGGGAAGAGGGGTGTTGGGGACACAGCATTTTGGGTGACACCACCTCTCTGGCAGATCCCAGTAACCAAAGGGTGTCGAAGAACGTGGCTAAGTATGAGAAGCTGCTGGAGACAGGGACAGCAGTGAGTGCCAGACCTCTGCAACGCCCCAACAGCACTCACCTTCAGAGTCGTGCCGCCTACGAGGAGCTGTGCCAGCGCCCAAGGGGGCAGGTGGGGCTGGCAGGAGGGTGTCATGGGTCCACACCCAACCACTGTCCCTTTCTCATGCCTTCCTTGGTCCTCATTCTCCCCAGTCAGCCCCAGAGGATCTCCTGCACCTCAGCTGCTCCTACGAGACCAACAGCAGCCCCTACCTCCTTCTCCAGCCTGCCAAGAAGGAGATGGTCCAGATCCGACCCTACGTGGCTTTGTACCATGATTTCATCAGTGATGCAGAGGCTGAGACCATCAAGGGATTGGCAGGGCCCTGGGTGAGCCATCCCTGTGCCCAGGGGTGTCCCTTTCCTGGAGGAGGGTGTCCCAGGAGCTGGTGGCCCAGGGTGGATACAGAGATAGGAGGGGTTTTAAGCCAGGGCTCAGTCAAAATCTTCTCCACTGAGTCCAGGTTGGACAGAGCTTGGAGCAACCTGGTCTAGTGGAAAGTGTCCTTGCCCCTGGCAGGGTATTGGAATTGGATGATCTTGAAGGTCCCTCACAACCCAACCCATTCTATGACTCAATAACACCTTGGGGATGATGAGCCCAGCTCCATCTGAGCCCCAAAAAAGATTCTGGGGAGAAAGCAGGTCTATGCATGCACCTAAATCACTTCCCAACCAGGCTTGACTTGGTGCCACTCAACTGAAGTGGATCTGTCACTGCTTCCCTCACACCAGTGGGACACCTTGGGGTGGAGATACTTGGCAACCAGATGCTATAAACCCACCAACTTCAACCCCAACTGGGGTTCCTGCTTGGGTTGGGGGACCCCATCTGCAGCAATGTGCCCCCCACCATGTGTCCTCCAGCTGCAGAGGTCCGTGGTTGCCTCTGGAGAGAAGCAGCAGAAAGCTGAGTACCGGATAAGCAAGAGGTAGTAGCCACCTCCTCCCTTGTCCTCCAGCCACTGAGACCACCATGGTCATCACCAAGGTGGCAGTGAAGCCATGCTGGGGAGGCCTGGGTCCTCCTCAGCCAACAGTGCATGAATCTGGGGGGGCTGAAGGTGTGGTGGTCCTGCAGTGCCTGGCTGAAGGACACTGCTGACCCCGTGGTGAGGGCACTGGAGCAGCGCATCACTGCCGTCACCGGCCTGGACCTGCGGCCACCCTATGCTGAGTACCTGCAGGTGGTCAACTACGGCTTGGGAGGCCACTATGAGCCACACTTCGACCATGCCACGGTCAGGGAGCTGCCTGGGTGGGCCATGGGGTGGTGCCCAGGGTGGTTCCGGTGGTGCTCTTGGGATGCTCTTTGGAGCTTTCCTGGGATGGCTCCTGGGGTGGTCTCTGGGATGTTCCTGGAGGTGGGTCCTGGGATGCTCTGCATGATGCTCCTGAGATGGTGCCCAAGGCAAATCCCTGGATGGTCCCTGGGGGGGGTCCCTATGGTGACAGCCCCTGGGCTGTTCCGAGTTGTTCCTAGAGGTGGACTCTGGGAGGGTCCTTGGCAGGGGTAGTCCCAGGATGGTGATCCCTGGGTGGGTACTTTGGATGTTCCTAGGAAGGGAGGAAGGAGGTGAGGGAAGGGGGAAGGAAGGAGGGAGAGAAAAGGGAGAGGGAGGGATTTCACTGGGTGGGGGAGCAGCTTGGAGCTGTTGGGGCATGAGGTGCCTCCAGGATGAGCCGCATCAGTGCAGGACTGACTGTTCCCATGGGACTGACCATTCCTACCTCCTTGCTCTCGGGGCAGTCCAGGAAGAGCCCACTGTACAGAATGAAGTCAGGCAACAGGATCGCTACGGTCATGATCTATGTAAGTCCTCCCTCATTTCCAGGCCTAGAGAGACTGCACTTGGTCATCAGTAGGGTTCAGAGTGAACAGGGTGAAAGATGGGTGAGGGCAGCCCTAAAACACTGTGGTGGGGTGTTAAGTGCCAACGTCTGCAGAGGATTTAGGAGCTTGTACCATGCCAGCGAGAGGGAAATGCAGTTGGGGGCTCAAGGGAGGTCTCATGCCTCAGTTTCCCTGTGGGAAGCAGATGGATCACAGGGAAAGGTAGGCCCATGCATCATGTTTTTGCTCCTTTTCCAGCTAAGTGCAGTGGAGGCAGGAGGCTCCACCGCCTTCATCTACGCTAACTTCAGTGTGCCTGTGGTCAAGGTGAGGGAGCAGGGAATGGAGGATGATGCTCTCTGTATCCCATCTCTCCTGGGGAGCTGTGCCAAGCCCCAACCCCAGGCCTCCCTGATCTGTTTTGGGGTGCCAAACCCCAGTTCCGGAGCTCCTGTCTGTACATTGGGGTGCCAAACCACAGTTTTGGGTCTACTGTGTTTTGAGGTGCCAAACCCCAATTCTGGGGCACCTACCTCTATTTTGAGATGTCAAATCCCCAACTCTGGGTCTCCTGCGTCTATTTTGAGGTGCCAAACCCCAATTCTGTGTCTCCTCTGTTTTGGGGTGCCAAACCCCTCTCTGCTCACAGAACGCAGCTCTGTTCTGGTGGAACCTGCGGAGGAATGGGGACGGGGATGGGGACACTCTGCACGCCGGCTGCCCTGTCCTGGCTGGGGACAAGTGGGGTGAGACACTGCCTGCTGTCACCCTGGGGTGACATAGGGTGGGAGGGCAGCTCCATGGGTGGGGAGGCAAGGGGCTGGGAACTCACAAGAATCCTGGATAACAGGGAAAAAAGATCATCAGAGCAGGGTGGGAGGAGGGCACAGAGGGACGGGGACAGACAGGGGTCACAGAATCACAGAACAGTCGCAGTTGGAAAGGACCCAAGAGGATCATGACGTCCAACTCTTGGCCCTGCACAGGACATCCCTGAGAATCACAACATGATCCTTGTCCTTGTCCCTTCCAGTGGCCAATAAGTGGATCCATGAGCACGGGCAGGAGTTCCGGCGGCCGTGCAGTGCTGACCCACGAGACTGAGCCACCGAGGGCTTGTGGATGGGGCACCTGTGGGTGGCAAAGCCACCACAGCATGTTGTGTCCCCAAGGCTGCAGCAAGGGCGGGGAGGGGGTGGCAGTGGTGCAGGTGCTCTCGGGGGTGGTGGCATTTGCTCAGCCATGGCCAAGTCTGGTGGAAATAAAGTCAAAAGAGACTAAACTGGAGTCTGTTTTGGGGTGCCAAACCCTAACCCTGGGGCTCCCAGCTCTGTTTTGGGATGCCAAATCCAGTCTCAGGGATCCCAGCTCTGTTTTGGGGCACCAAAGCCTAACCTTGGGGCTCCCAGCCCTGTTTTGGGATGCCAAAATCCAGTTCAGGGAGAAGGGAGCTGCTGCCTCCCAGCTGCCCTGGCCCCCTGCCTGCTCACAGACAAGTTCCCTTTCTCCATCCCAACCGCAGCCCCTACGTGACTGGAAGGCAAAGAGAAGCTATCCAGGCTCTCCGGCAGCATCTGGAGAACAGGAAGGAGCCTGCACTTATCCCCCTGGGAGCTTCCCATGAGGGACAGCCTGGATGAAGCTGGTCAAGCTGGAGCTCCCTGACTCCACATCCATCCACCCTCATCTAAGTGACACTGGGATGAGATTAAATTCCTCCGCGATGGAGATCCGTCTCTGCTGGGGTTCCAGGCCACATGCTCACCTCTCAGCCTCTTTCTCAGATAGAAGGAAAAGGACAAAAACTGGGGAGGGGGCTAAAAACAGCAGGCAGACCTCTCCAAGGGCTCTCCTGCTCACTTTGGGTTGAAAAATGTGCATTTATCACTCCTTGGCTGTATAATCCAACCATGGATTAACCCTTCCATGGACACACAGGGATGGGGGTGAGCCGTGAGCAGCATTTGAGCAGGACAGGAGCGCCGGGCGGAGGCCACAGAAGCCCTCTGGCGCCCTGTGAAACCCATCTGAATGCAGAACAGCCTGGAAAGATTCTCATTTCCCTCAAATTCCTGCTTTTCGGACGGGAACAGCCACTCCAGGACTCGGCATTATGAAAGAGACAGTTGAGCAGAGCACAGGTTACTCAACAGCCCAAGGGCTGTGGTTTATTACTTCCAGATGTTTCTGTACACATGGGAGTCATCAGTCATGGAATGGAGCGGGAAAAGCAAAAGCTGTGGCTAAATTCTCCCTCTCCTCCCCACACTGGAGGGCAGGGAAGGGATGGGGGAGCGTTTCGGATGACAAGAGGCTTCCATGAGTCACCAGGAAAAGCCAAGGCTTGGGTCTGGCCCTGGAACCGCTGGATCAACTCCCTTTCTCCACAGGCTGCTCCAAGGAGCCCAAGTGGCACAGCTGATGGGAAAGGAGTAATTCCTACTCCAGGCTTTTCAGCAATGCTTTATTTGTAGGCAAGGGACACAGACAGGGAACACGACAGGAATGGGATGAGGCTGACACGGGACACGGCGGAGAACTCACACTCACACACACACACACACACACACACACACACACAGAGTTCCTTGTGGAAACAGCAGCACGTGCCAAGAGGTCACTCCACCAGACTGGGAATGTTTGGCCCAAACTGGCCAAGAATCCAACAGCAAAGCTTGGAGCCAACACCCAATCCCTACCCCACTGGTTCTGGATGCCTTATGTACAAGGTGCTGAGGGTACAGTGTTTTTGGACAGGCTGACACAACCAAGAGAGGTTTGGGCAACACAAAGGGCACTTCCAGGTTGTGTGCAGGGGAGGGCTGGGAGTTCAGCGCCGGCAACACAGCATCAAATAGCCTGTGGAAGGTTTATTTCCTTCTCACTCACTTCTCAAATGTTAACAGCAAAGCGGAATATCCAGGGGAGCCTACGGGATTCCCAGTCATTCCTTTTCCAGTGGTGCTTCTACAGAATGCAAACCTGGTTTGCTTTCAACAGAGGGTTCTGTTTGGTTGGGGTTAAGATCTCACAAATAAAAGGGATAACGCAAGGAATCACAGTCAGATTCTCCAGGTTACTCCAGCACTGAGGAATGTGTCTTCACCAAGATCATCCATGAGAAGGACAACAGGCACATGCTTAGCTATCCTGGGAAGTGAGACTCTGGGCATACACACTGTGTTTTACGTGATCTCTAACAAAAAGGAGTCACCTGGAAAAGACAATTTGGCCAATCTTCAGGATATGGCTGGGGAAAGTGCTATTTTGCATCTCAGCTACAGAAGATCCACTTAATCCATCAGGAACTAAACCAGGGTGTGGGTTACACCAAGGTCACAAGAATTTAATGCAGTAATTACCACAGTGACTCACAGAGGGAAGTGCTGGGAGCCAGGAATTAATCTCTGAACACCTGAGTGCCCATGGCCAGAGCCCCAGGAGAGGGGAGAACCCTCTGGAATGAGGCTTTCTTGCCTCTAATCCAGGCATTTCCCACCCTGCTGTGTCAGGGAAGGAACATAGAGAAAGGCCACTCTGCTGTGCCCAGTGAATCAGGGATGAATGGTCTCCAACAGGCTCAAGCCAAAATTAAACCCTTTGCCCCACCTGTACCTCTCAAATGCCAGGAATTC